AGAAAACAACAAACTGTCTTAGTCCCACTCAGTGTTAACGCTGAAACTCTATTATTCATTTCTCTGTTTTTAGAGTCACTGTCAGTCAAGGGCAAGCCCCCCACCCCCTAGAACAAAAGTGAGCTTCCCTGAAACCCATGGTATAGTTTGCACACTACTAGCAGGTGGCATTTTCACTGGATGAGGAATAACTGAATACATGCAAAATTATATTTGAAATATTTAATGTAGACATTAGGTCAGACATATGCTTTTGTCCTCTGGTTCTACTGTAGAAACCAAACTCACCCACTCTCTTCTCTGCCTGGCTATTCTGGAGCAGAAACATGCTAACTGCATCCGGAAGAACCTGATTTGAACTTCATCGGAAGACAGAAAATCTGTTGCAGCCAACACACTTTGTTTTGTCAGGAGAAGAAATGAATGGCATACTGGAAGAACCAGAAACGGCTATGGTGAGGAGGCTGTGATTGTGCATAATGAGAGAGAGAGAGAGAGACCATCAGTTGTAGTAGAGGGGTGTGTTCTTAACCTCACCTGCTCTCTTGTGTCTATTCAAACGTTCTCTGTTGAGGCATACCTCAGGAATTTCTACCTCTCTTCAGTGGGATCAATCTTTTCAATCAGCGTTTCATAAAGGTGTCAAACAGAGGATGATGTGTGTGTGTGTGTGTGTTTTGGGATGGGGCCTCACAGCATTTAGCTCATTGGGAAGTTAGAGGTTAACTCCGGCACAGTTTTGAAAACTTTTCATGTTTCACAGCCGGTCACCCGAAGGACCCAGTTTTAGCAGAGGCCTGAAAATTCCTTGTCACTTCTTATTAAATGCAACCCAATGTGCAGTACAGTGGGGTTGGGGGTGGGTTCACTCTCTGGAAAAGGCCAACACTGGACAAAAAAGGGGCTCTGTTGTTGAATAAACTTTTGATCGAGAGTTTTTAAAAAAAGAAGTGAATGTTTCATCACAATTTTTCTGCCCGACTTGTATCTAATGTGCTGAGTAATGTAACAGTAACTGAGAGGAGAGGATGCACTGAATAATAATAATAAAATAATAATAAAAATACTTCTCTACCAAGTCCTGTATTAACAGTATTGCCAACAAAATGTGCTTAAAGTATCAAAAGTAAAAGTATTCATCATGCAGAACCGTCCCTGTCCTCTCAGTGTTGTATTATTATTATTATTGGATCATTATTGTTGATGCATTAACATATAAGTAGCATTTAAATGTTACAGTTGATTGATGTGGAGTTAATTTTAACATCTATATATTATTTTTAGTTGTTTAATTTATAACACGGCATCATATTTTATAACCTCATCATAAGTTTTGTTTGTTTTAGCTGTCAGATAAATATAGTGCTGGGAAATATTGTACTTTGTACTCCACACCATGTATTTGATATATCTGGCTATTAATTACTTTGCAGATTGAAATTAACATGAAACACATATGATGATCTTATAAAATGCAATACATTGTTGTGGTTTTCAAACCTTTTTGGCTTGGGACTAAAAAAAAATAGGACCTCTGTCGTGTTTTTAAGATGTGTATGAGTTGTTGACTTTTCACCTCTACACCTCTCAGGTGATTTCCATTGAATAACTATTTGAGGCAAAAGAGGTAAAATTATCTAATATTTCACAAAAAAGCAACAATTTACTTTCCTTCTGACCCCATCAATTATCTCATGACCCCTCAGATTTATGGATTTAGTGGAAACCACTCCCTAAACTGTATAATAAAGTAGATAAACTAGCTCCACCTCAAAAGGCAACAAATGCTACTTACACATTGATGCATCTGTATTAACAATCATTAGCAGTGACGGCATTGGTGGTGAAGAAAACTCCCATGATCCCACAATGCTGCACATTGCACCAAACTTTCTGTCTTTTTGTTATTATTTAAGTGTGAGAGACCCAGTAGTAGCAGAAATTTCGTATTTTATGTTTATGGGGGATTTTGAATGATGAACTTTTACTTGCAATAAATAAATCCATTGTTACTTTTACATAGGTAAAGGATCTGGGTGCCACATATCTGTATCATATACACTTTGTCTCTTTTTCTTCCACCTCGCTCCTCTCTCACGCTGCCTGTACATATTTTAACGCTGGCAACAGTGCGACAGTCTTGACCTCGATCCTTGAATTCCATTTGTAGCTTCTGGGAGGCAGACGTTCAGCTCTATGGTGAAGAAAGAGGCCACCGGACTCTGTACTTACTGATGATGATTTTACTGGGAGGATATCACACGTGTTTGGTTCAACTATGACTAGACATACTTGTGTGTTTATTGTTTTTTTTCTTATTGAAATTGTTTTTGTGTACATTTATCAGTGTTGGAGTTACACTGAAGGTCACACACGATAAAATGGACTTGGTCAATAATGGCTATCCAGGGGAGGAGGGTGGGGGGGTCTCATGTTATCTGAATGTATGCAACCCTTCCTGTGATAGTAATGGGGTCAATGTATTTACTTACCACTATGACCAACTTGATGTGCGTCTGTGTCTTGTTTTTTAGACCAGTGTCAATGTTTCAGCGCCTCTTCCACGAAGTATGATCAAAGAAAACATCTGGACTATTTAACTGTTTTCAATTACAGAGGTATATTTCTGACCTAAGTCGCTCTCTCGGCTTGCTTCAAGGTTGTTGTTTTCAAGTTTTATCTCTTTAGATGTACTTTATCTCCACGCCTCTGATGTAAATCTCATTGTAAACTATCTTATGGACCCAGAAAGGTTTGAGACTTTGAACCTGAAATAACCTGCTGTTTTGTTTATGAGAGGTTAGCAACCTCAATTCAGGAAGTGTGATATAAGCATAAAAACTGTAAAATGTCTTTACGGACTATTTTTAGTGTTTACTCACTGGTCAGCCTGTTTTGGTCAGTTCGCTAGTTGTATATCCTTTCACATTTGTATTTTAGATGATTTAAAATGAGTAATTAACATTACATGTAAAGTCATGCATATGTACAGAATAAGTCAATAATCTCCTTTGCCCATGTTGTTATAACAGCACCATACAGTATGAACTAGTCCACTTCTTTGTGTTGAACAGGTTGTTTTGTATTATTTAAATATTGAACGTGTGCTAGAGTAGGCCAACCTGTCACAGGCCACATCTGGGGACAAATTTTGGACTTTAAACCAGTTGACTGGCAACATCTTATTTACTTGGGGGTGGAAAGTTTGTGTCCCTAACTCGGTTTTATAACAGTTAAAGGACCAGTGTGAAGGATTAAGTGGTATCTAGCGGTGAGGTTTCAGACTGCAACTAACTGAACACCACTCGCGTCTGTATTTGCACAAAACCTGGGAATGGCAGAACGGCTGTGGAAGTTGTGGGTAGGGAGAAACTACGGTGGCTGTGAAAAATGCCAAAGACCCTATTTGGAGCCAGTGATGGTTTGTCCGTTCTAGGCTACTGTAGAAACACGGTGTTTCCGTGGAAGACGACCTGTGGCTGTAGATAAAAAGAGCTCATACTAAAGTAATAAAAACACAAAGATTCCTATATTCAGGTGATTATACGGTCATGAAAACTGTATTACAAATACTATAAATATGTTATATTCCATTTCTGCCAGTAGATCCTCCTAAATGTTACACATGGGATCTTTAATTTCCCCATGAGTAAAACTAATCTGAGCATTTTTGATAAGAAAGTAAGACGAAAAGTATTAGTTTCTAGAAAAAAGTCTGAATACTTAGAGAAAAAGTTGTAATATTTTGAGTCTGAATATTTGGGAAGAAAAGTGGTATGATTTTAGAATTTTTTTAAATGTATTTTTTAGACCATGTCATAATATTTTGGGGAAAGGGGATGTAATTTCTAAGAAAAAACTACAATTATTTGAAAAAAGTTGTAATGCTTTGAGGAAAAGCGTGCATTTGTCATAGTGTATTAAATGTGTGTCCATACAGTATACTGTACTGTACTGTACTGTACTGTACTGTTTGGCTCTTCCACAGGAAAAATCCTAAAATCTATAACAATGAGGTTTTTAGTGGCTAAACTTAAACAGTAGGTCAACCTTCAGGTCATCTTTATCCTTTACTGTGCATGTAAGCTAAAATATTATGACTTTTTCCCGAGTTTATTCTTTAAATTCCTGATGATTTTACCCCTAACCTTGACCTTTATACTGTTTTGCAGGGCCCCCAGAAATATTTATCCAGGTCGTCCAAATCCCTGGTTCTGACGCAGAAAAAACCTCCAGAGAATGAAATTGGACTAATGCCTCCAAATACTGTATGTATGTGCGTGTGTGTGCGCGTCTCCCCCGCCTCACTGAAAGGGTTAAACTCATAGTAAAATCCACCTCCACAGAGCTCCGCCCCTCAATTGTTGAGGCTGTTTGCCTCAGAAATCACACCACTCCAGATCCCGCCTTCTCCCCACCCGGGGCCCCTCTCGGCCCCACCCACTCCTGGACCACATTGAAATGGGTCTGATGTTGTTGTCAAACATTACAGTGTGCGGAGCATCCCTCCTCACATCTTCCAGCAGGAGCATCTCTAACACAGCAGAGCGTCTTACCACCACTGGAGCAGTGTCCAACAGCAGTCCCATTACTGACACTCACACAATAAGTCCCATCAGAGACCTGACAGGCTTCATGCATCTTCCAGTGAGGCTGAAAAACATGGGACGGCCGAGTTACGCGTCAGTGTTGTTTCTCATTTGCTGCCTTGTTCAGACAAGTAAGTACCTTCCTTTGAACTTGATCAATTACGCCATTAATTGCCTCCGTTTTCGACTTGGCATCTGCGTTAGTTAAAGCAATATTGATGTTGTGTGACATAAATATATGTTAGAAGAACATTATAAATAGGATTTTTGGACAAGTATTCAGCCCGTGCGGGTTTAAATTGCCCACTCCTCTGACAGCACCGGATGCAAGGTGATGGGGGAGGGCGCAATTATTCCCAGAATGTAGGTCAAATCTTTCTCCCTGTTTTTTATTTTTTTTTTTCACAATGAATATTTCACCTTGACTGAACCTCATATTTTTTTATAGGCTGCATATAACAGCAAACTCCTATTTAAGTCATCTTTTTTTTATGGTTTCAGCTTCCAATTGTAGTTTTTTTTTTTTTTT